AGGAAAGAAAGGGGTTAGGGGATGTGTCCCATTGCCCTGGTGACAGCTTGGGCAGGGGGCATGGGAGCGAGGGGGCTGGTCCGGAGAGGCTTTGCCACCCACGGAGCGCTTTCCGGGCTTGGGGCGGGACCAGAGTCCCGAGGACAGGATGGGGGTGAGTGGGAAGCTGTGGACAGGGGCCTGGCTGGTGGGCCTGGGGGCCGGGCAGGGCTGCTTTGGCCGTGGGCTCTGGGACTGCACCAACAGGCAGGTGGGCCTAGCGAGTCCCTGTCCCCAAGCTGGGCATCAAGAAGGAGCAACGCCTGTTCCCGTGACGAGGAAGTCTCTGAACCACCGCCGACTGCTCCCCCCGCCCAGGCCTGAGCACAGCCAGGCACATGCAAGCACACGCGCACTCACGAGGCCACCGGCACACGCACAGAGGACCCGGACGTCCCACCGCTTCCCCCCAGGGGGGCCTCTGGGCTCCCCACCCAGCCTGCTGGGCCCCGGGCGCAGGACGAGACCCACAAGGCACCCCCAGACACGTGGGGACCCAGGAGAGGGCGCGCCCGGGGGACGCCAGGGCCGCAGGTGCCAGAGTCCTAGGCCGTGCAGGCGGCAGGGCCCGCTGGCATCCTCCAGCCCAGGCGTGCAGCAGGCGGCCCAGGGGCCACGCGTGGCCACACACGCCACGTTTCCAGGCGTGTTTAACCCGCACAGTGTTTGAAACTCCTTTTGAAACATGATGACTACATCCAGACCGGGCGGTAGTTAGTATTCAGTCGCCAACAGACACAGATGACCAGCTGGCATGCCCAGTAACTTGGGCGAACCCCCAGGGAGTGAGGCTGACAGGAGGAAACCAGCCCCGCAGATCACAGGCTCAAGGACTCCGCGTACGGGACGTGGAGACGGAGGACGGCAGCGGCTGCCCCAGGCTGCGGGGCGCGAGCACGGCGGGGAGGGGGCTGCACCTGCAGACGGGGGAGGCTCCTGGGGGTGACAGAAGCACCCCGCAAGCGACTTTTTTGCCGCAGGTTTGCAGAGCCTTGACCGAGGGACCTCTCTGCGGGAGGTCTTACGACCTGCAACTCCCTCCTGACACGACGCTGACCCAACGAATTGCCAGCAGGGAGCCGGGAGAGGAGCTGGGTCCCCGCGTGGGAGGCGGGGGCAGTGCTGATCTTACGTTCCTCGCGCAGCCGCCTTTCCACCCGCCCACGTCTGCCCAGCGGCTGGCTTGCCCTCCACACCTCAGCCCTGCTCCGGGCCTCCATCTGTGATTACTACATCAGCTGCCCGCGGCCCACATACTGGGAACTGAAGCCTCCCCCGTGCCAATGGGAAGCCAAGGCCCAAAGCCCGTGGAGGCTCAGCCGCAGGGCTGCGCTCTACCTGGGATCTGGGGGGGTGGGCAGCCCACGCGGGGGCCCTGCTGGTCGCACCGTGCACGGCAATGGTGGGCCGACCCATAGAGACTCCCCGGACACAGACCCGGCCACCATCCTCTGTGCTCAGGGACAGCCCCGGACGGCGGGCGACTAGCGGGGCTCTTCTGCTCGCTGCTGTTGGTGAATCCAGGAGAGAAAGGACATGGGGATGTGCTGGGGCTTCTCAGGTGCGCCTGGCGGGGTCCTGGTTCCTCCAGGTGCAGTCACCAAACGTTCTAGGCTGGCGAGCACCAACAATGAGAAATCCCCAAGATGGACGTTACCGTGGGGGAGGGCTGCAAGCTGGGCTGGCAGCAGGGGACGGTCAGCCCCAGGCACGGGGACACAGTGGCGGGGTGGGGAGAGGGGCCGCAGAGGGGATGGCGAGGACCCAGGGAGCCCCTGGGCTCTTTTGGGGGTGGGGCCCCGGATGGGGACCTGGAAGGGTTTTACGTGGTTTGTGGAGGACGGCTCGAGGCCACCCTCACCCTCGCTCCTCTGTGAACGCGTCACTCACCGCTTTGTTCCTTAACACTTGAGGCCTAAGGGAGGTGCCCAGGCGAGCACCTGGGAAATGCAGAAATCGTTCCACTAAGATGTTTGAGCTACGAGCTGGGGGCCAGAGGACGTCCCTTGTGCACAGGTGACCTCCGGGATGGTTTCCCCAGGCACCAACAGCCCTAACCCGGCCTGGGACAAGCAAGGCTCGCCTCCACGGCTACCCCTGCCAGGGCTGCCCAACGTGGGCCCACCTCCGAGCCAGCAGACCCTCGAGCACGGGGGCAGCTGTGGAGACCTCTCGGCGATGGGAGGCTCGCTTCCGGATGGAGGCACCGCGGGTGCTCTGCTGCTGCAGACGGAGGCCAGCAGCCCCGGTACCCCTGCCCCCGTGGGTCGCCAGCCTACACTTTCCTAAGGCGCAGGGGCCTCTCCTAGGAGGGGAGCCAGGTCCGCGGCAGATGCCCGGGCTATCCAGGGGCCCACCCTGCCTCACCTGTAAGGACAGGGGCCCTGGAGGGTAGGCTCTGCCTTGGGCTGGCCGGCAGGTGGGCACCGGAGCCCCGGAGGGGAGCCACCTGCTACCAGGGGCCGCCCAGGAGGACAGCGGGGGGCTCCTGCGGGCCGGGGAGGGGAGAGCATGCGGGGCCCTCTGACAGGTGGGGCGGCCCCGACCCCAGGCCACCAAGCTGCCGCCTGCTACGGACCCCTGCCACGACTCACGCGCTCCTGCCTGTGCCCACACACAGCCAGTGGGGAGCAATCACCTCTGCAACACGCAGGGCCCCTGTGGGCCGTCAGCTGCCCTGGGCCAGCCTGGCAACCTCAGTGGAGTCAGCGACTGGAAGCCCCCCGGGGGGACCCTGAGGTTCCTTCCTGCCAGCGTGCCAAACCGGGAGAGAGAGGAGGCGGCGGCCGCCCTTGGCCCACAAGACAGATCCACAGGGCCTCGGAGCGTGGCTTCCACCTTGGGCGTGCGGAAGGGTGGGCGTGGGGCTCGGGCCCTGGGGAGCAGGATCCCTGCCCCACCCAGACCCCGGCTGGGGACAAGTGTGCTGCGTCCTTCTCCTGGTGGCCCCTCGGGAGCCCAGGGCCCTGGCCGTGAGCAGTGGCCACAGCCACTATGTCGGACGCCGATCACAAGTCAAAGGGCATCGCCGCACCCGCTGTGAGCCTACTCTCAGGTCCTCAGGCTGCCGGGATGCAGGGAAGCGCCAGTGCCCACCCACCTCCTAGGGCGGTGGGGAGAGTGCACATTTGGGGGAAGGCTTGGAGGATGACTCCCCAGAAAGTAAAGTGAGGAAGAGGGAGAGCAGCGGGAAGCCTGTGCCCTCCAGGCCCGGGCGGGCAGGTCAGCAGGTGCCACAGGGCCCTCACTGCAGGGTCAGGGGCCCCGGGCTGACGGCAGGGCAGGGCCTGTGGGGGAAGCCGCTTTCTCGGGGTGGGGGTCCACACTGAGGAAGGAGTGGGACAGAGCCTCTTGCTGGGCCCTCTTTCCAGGTTTCCCTTCAGAAACTCCTGCAGCAGCAGCTGGCAGGAGAGGCTACAAGGCCTGCAACCGAGTCCTCACACCCCAGGGTCCCCTGCCTCCTGCTGGGGGCTGAGCCATGCCCCCTCAGGGATCGGGCCCCAGGAGGAAGGACTAACCTGCCCACATATCCCCAGGACTAGGGACAGCCAGCCCCAGCAGATGCTTCTGGAAGGAGGGAACGACCCACGAGGCCTGGAGGTGCCCCTTCATACCCCCTTCGGTGTTGTCACTCAGTAGCCCGGCAGGTGTCCCCAAGGAAACATGCAGGAGGGGAGGCCTGCCTCGTACACGGGGTCTGCTTAGGGTGACTGGCCCCCGAGGGGCCCCCCAAGCAGGGCTCTGTGTCGTGGGAGGGACGGGACAGCTGGTGGGCCCCTGGCGGGGACTGGGGAAGCTGGGGCGTTGTCAGGCCCTTCCATCGGGGCACCCACTGGGGAAGGCGGCAAAGCCGACACAGCGTGGCAGCGACGGAGCAGAGCAGCAGGGCGGCCGTGGTGCCGTCCCACCCCACACGCTGCCAACTAGCTTTGGAGTGCAGCATCTCATCGCCCCAGTTCGCGCCCTACAAGGTTAGGACCCGTCTGCGCCTCATGAACAGGCCCGGGGGACCGCGCGCCCAGCCGGGGTGCCCCAGCCCAAGAGCCGGAGTGGCCGGGATCGGCCAACATAAGGGCCCGGAAGCAAAAGCCACATCAACTCTGAGCCGGCGCTGGAGCCCCACTCACCACGCAATCCTGGGGTCACTACGTGCAGGTGAGCCAGGGCCCAGGTCCAGGGGCTCCTGAGGCCCCACCCTGACAGGGAGGCCGCCGCATGGTGTGCCAGCCCTGGCCACTGGCCCCGGAAGAGCGCGCATGACCCCGGCCGCCCGACGTGGAGCCGCCTCGCAGAGCCCTGGCCTCACCAGGGAAGGCCCTAGCAGGTCCCGGCGGGCTCCGGGGTGGCACGGCCCCTCGCACCCAGGTCCACGAGCACCCAGCGGGACGCAGGTAGAGGTTAGTGGCCGTGCCCCAGGCCGGCCACCGTGGGGGGATATGCCTTGAGCCCCCAGCCCGGCAGTGGCGATCGTGCCTCGAGCAAGCCAAGGAGCTCCTAGGCCAGCATACTAGGTGTGCACGGCAGAGTCCCAAGGTCAGTGCCCGTGCCCAGCACACCCTCGGCGGGCCTGCTGCCCAGCCTCCAGACTCACGGCAGACGGGCCCCGAGGGGGGTGGGCAGGCGAGGCGGCCGGCTTGATGCCCTCGCAGGGAGAGGTGCCCTCGTTCTCAACAGCCCAGCATAGGCCAAAGCAGCCCTGCCCCCTGCCCGGGGACAGAGCCAGGAGACCCCATAGTCCTGATGCCTGCAGCCTGGGCCCAGGGGAGACGCTCGCTGACCCCCTCACTGGCCTGGGACCAAGGCCCCCAGCCAGCCTGTGCTGGAGCCCGTCAGGGGCCAGGACCTTCCAAATACGTAAACTTGAGAGGTTCCTTCCGTGACTCATGTGACCCGGGAGCTGCCTGGGGAGGGACTGGGTTACAGGAGGGACACGGCCACCGAGCCTGAGTCCAGGCACTTACCTTGACCTCCGCAGAGCTTCCTCATCAGGGTCTTGCACTGTGGGTAGAAAATTGCCAATGAGGAGGACACACGGGTGACACGGGGGTCCCCACCGACGACTGAACGGCGCTTGCCCCCAGCCCAGAAGCTGGGAGGGGAAGGCTAGGCCCAGGGTGGGGCTCAGCCGTGGGTGGCCCACCGCTGGGGTCAGGTGCTGAGCGCAGGACCCGTGTCGCCCCGCAGCCCGCCCCGAGGCGCCATCTGTCCTGACAGCCCAGCCCCCGCACCTCCGCGCCCGCCCGCGCCCGCCTCACTTACTGTACTCTGTCCCGGTCATCTGGGCCAGGATGCGGAAGGAGCGAGACTGCAGGTTGGAGGAGCGGCGGGCCCACTCATCAGCCTCGTCTTCCGGCTTGTTTTGGTTCTTGATCACGGCCTGGTACACAGGAGACGCGCTGTCCACGGCCAGGTCCTTAATAGGGAGGCTCCTGCGGGGCGCAGGGGAGCCATGAACGGGGGCCAGGCTGGAGGGGCTCCTGACCCTGCACTCCACCCCCAGCCACCCCCTGCCGCTCACCCGCTCGCACCCCACACCCCGAATGCCCAGCCCGCCGTGCCCTCCCCCCACCGCCCCCCGGGGGCCCGGACGGGGCTTGGCCTGGGTCCTCAGTGCTCAGGGTGGACGGCGAGACAGCGACTCCTCTCGGATCCCTCCTGCCACCCCCCGGCCCGCCCTGGGCTGACTGCACACACTGACCTGAAACCCCCTGCGTCTCAGCTGCCTCACCCCCCAAAGGGACGGCTGGGTCTCTTTTAAGGGAAGGAGGGGCAGGATAGGTCGTCTGAAATAATTTCCACCTCCCTGAGCAGCTCAAGTTTGGGGCTGGGGACAAAGGGCCTCTGGGGGCCTCAGAGGCTTCTTCAGGGTCAGTCCTAGTCCTCCTTGCACTGTGGGACCCACATGGGGAGCCCCCAGGGTCGTGACCGCCCTGGGAGGGGCTGGTGGGCTCCTGCGCAGCAGAGGGGGCAGGCTCAGTGGGGCGGTGGCGTGAGGAGCCAGGCAACAGGCTTGTGGGCCTGGCACTGCCTGCAGGGGGAGGGAGGGCCTTCTGGGCTGGGAGGGCGAGGGGCAGGGGGGCCATCAGTCCTCTGCTCCAGAGCAGCATGACCTTTGGAGGGGGGACCCGGTGACCTTCCCTTACACCCCCAGGGTCTGGCACACAGCAGGTGCTCAAAACGTACTTGAATGAATAACCTTGGCTCAGGGCCAGAAGGGACCCCAGAGCCCCTCGGGTCCAGTGCCTCCCAGCCTGAATCCAACTGCCCTGGCCAGTGAGAGCTGGGGAGCCTGCTGTCCACCCCCCTCCCAGGAGTTAGGATGAACCAGGCTCAAGCCTATAGCAATGAGGGCCTGGCTCCTCACCCTGCGGACCCGGGTAGAGGGGTCCAGCCTCTGCCTTACGGACGCCAACACTAAGATCCCCGCAGGTCAGCCCATGAGCTCTCGGTGACGGCACCGAGGGGCCTGCTGATCACAGCCCAGGCTTCCCGGGTCCCACCCACTGTCCTTTCCCTCAAACTCGCTGCAGCAGCAACAGCTCAGAGAGGCAGTTTCTGCCCACCGAGGCCTCGCAAACCCCGGATGCTCATGCCTGGAGGCATGGCCCGGCCCAGGCGCTCGCTCGGCCCGCGTCCCCTTGCCGCTGCTATGGTGGCCCCTCCCTGCCCGCCAGAGGGCCAGCTCCTAGGAGAGGGACCTCCCCGGGGCCCTCATCTTCTGGCCTCTCTGCAAGGAGCTGGAAGGAGGCACTGGCCTACTTTCCCAGGACTGGTCCCCATGTCTGGCTCAGCATGGGCTCTCAGCAGAGGTGCACAAGGAGAGCAAGACTGCATGGAGCTGCCCCTGCCTCCCCGAGGGCCCTGCCCTGCCCCACAGAGCGACAGCTCCTGGCAGCCTCAGGTGGGGAAGACCAGCGGATCCTCGGGGCCCAGCCGGGAGAAGCCCGGGGCCGCCCAGGGAGCGTTGGACACGGTGGGATCTCCCTGGGGAGGCTGCTTCTGGCACCGGCAGGAGTCCCGAGGACTCCCAGGCAGCGGGGTCTGCTGCCCTCGAGGAAGGGGTGCAGTAGGGGGCACACGGGAAGGAGGAGGACCGTGCCATGGGAGAGGGAAGGTGTCCGCCCGGGCCCGGGCCTGCCCTGGAGCCTGTCTACACAGCTCTGTGGTCCAGAAAGTGGCTGCAAGGTGGTGGCTGCCATTTCCCTGGAACGTGCCCTTGAGGCGACTACCCTGCTCCCTCCACAGCCCCGAGGGCTCCAGAAAGCTCCACGGGTGAGTCCCTTAGGAGTCACATGGGCAGCTCCACTTCCCGCAAGGCTGTGCCAAGACCAGGGACTCATGCTGCTGCTGCGACGGGCACCGGGAGTCAAGGGAGGATGGGACGCGCCCCACTGTCCCGGGCCCTGGGTCCGAGGCTGCTCTGGAGCCACTCCCGGCAGGGGCCTCTCGCCACCAAAAGCCTTCACAGTCACCACAACGTCAAGGTCACCCCGGACACTGATTCCCTTGCACACTGCCCCAAATCTGCCTCGTCTTTGGCCTCGCCTGGGTGCTACTGCAGGCGCTGGCTCCTCCAGGTCCATCTCCTGTGAGGATCCCAGGGAGCCTCCAAAGCCCCCTTGCCCCCTTCCCCCGCACAGTGGCCGGGCATGGGTTGTGACATTGGTCTATGCCGTCCCAGAGCAGACAGGAAAGGCGGTGGGGAGCACCCGCAAAGCACAGCAGAGATCCGTTCCCAGCCTTGGGTGCAAGGGGGCCCGTGTGATGTCGTGACTCTGATTTCCGCGTCCGCAGGGACCTTATTTGAGGCGACCCCCGAAAGCACTTGCCTGCACAGGCCGCTGAGCATGTCGTTTGGCTGTGAGGTGGGTGTGAGGAGGAACACGCACAGAAGCACCGTCCTCGGGCATTTCCCACCAAACCCACACGCCATCCCTCAACCAGACAGACGACGACGGGACAGACACTGCGGGATCTACTTACGCCAGCGGCGATGCCCTGCCAAGCAGAGGAAAGCCCAGCAGTGAGTGCGTGTCCATCAGGGGATGGCAGGGGCCGCGCACACACAAGGGAGCGGGGGTAGGGTCGCAAGTGAGTTACGGGAGTGCGGGGTAACGGAGGAAGAGAAAGAGACAAAAAGAAAACTGTCAGTGAGGAAGGAACTGCGGATTCACAGCAGAGAAGGAGCACCTTAGGGTGCAGGGGGCAGTGCCTCCCCTGCACCGTGGCAGCGTCAGCCCCGCAGGGCCCGGTTAGAAGGGAGGGGAGGGCGCATCGCTCCCCTGCACGGGGCGGGAGGACATGGGAGGGGACACGGGGGCAGATGGGAGAGGGACTCTGAGAAGCCCAGATTAGGTCCATGGTGCATCACGTTAAAAAAAAAAAAATCACGGGTGCCCCAGGGGTAAAACCACGTGATAATCATCTTTTTTTTCCCAAGGCACAGAAAATATAAAGTTAGCGAAGAGCCATTCTTCCATTATTTTCCACTGAACTTCCCTTTGGCGACGGTCACCACTCTTGAGAGCACACCAAGGACACACAGGGCCACCAACTGTTCGCAGGAAATCCCCGAGCCTCCTGGCTTAGTCCGGCAGCCTGGGTTTTCTGGGCGCACATGAGCTAACGGTTGTGTTTTTTAGCTGGTGGGGTCTTATTTTCTGCTTTGAACAGTGGGATTGAATAAATCAGCATTATCTGGAGTTCTCCCAAGGGCTGCATCTCTGAGCCTGGCGGAGGTGAGGCCCAGGGCTCCGGGGGCAAGCAACCTCTGTCCCCCGGTGGCCCCACGGAAGCAGGCAAGGCTCAGAGGGGAGCTGGGGGGCTGCACCACACTCCGTCCTGGGGCCGCTGGAGCCTCGGCCTGGGAGTGTGCAGGTGGGTCCTGGCCACAGGGCCCGGGTCTGTAGGGGCCCGATGCCGCGGGAGTTACCCCGGACTCTGTACCCCTTTGCCCCCCCCCACAACGTCTGCTTTCCCTGCAGCTTCGGGAAGGAATGCAACCGTCGCTTAAGACTTCCTGCCTTGAGCATTTTTGAGATCCTGACTTGGGGATGAGAAGTTGTCCAAAGAGATAATCGGTCGATTCCGACAGTCAACGACGACGACATTGTCAAGTAGAAAACAGTGAGAGTGTGTGAAAGACAGAGAGACGGACAGGGAGGCAGAAGCACGGAGGTAGAGACAGAGACAGAGAGGAAGGCAGAGATAGAGAGACAGAGACACAGAAAGGGAGAGATACAGAGCGACAAAGAGAGACACAGAGAAAGAGAAAGACAGAGAGGAAGAGCTAGAGAGACAGAGACACAGAGAGAGAGATACAGAGAGACAGACTAAGAGAGACGCAGAGAGACAGAGAGGGAGACAGAGAGGAAGACAGAGCTAGAGAGACAGAGACACAGAGAGAGAGATACAGAGAGACAGACTAAGAGAGACGCAGAGAGACAGAGAGGGAGACAGAGAGGAAGACAGAGATAGAGAGACAGAGACACAGAGAGAGAGATACAGAGAGACAGACTAAGAGAGACGCAGAGAGACAGAGAGGGAGACAGAGAGGAAGACAGATAGAGACACACACACACAGAGATACAGAGAGACAGAGTAAGAGATACAGAGAAAGAAAGAGACAGAGAGGAAGACAGAGATAGAGAGATAGAGACAGACTAAGAGAGACACAGAGAGAGAAAGGGAGAGCGGTCCCTATCAACCTTTGCACTATTAGCGTTTCTTTCCCACAAGTGACTTCAGCCAGCCGATTCCCTATCCAATGCTCGCGTTCCTCAAGCAGAGCTAGGAGGCAGACCCGAGGAGGGAAGGACGTTCCAAACCCCAGTGTGCGGGGCCGGGGCTGCCCCAGAGCGCCAGGAGCAGGGGCAGCCGTGCTGGCTGCTTCCCAGAGGGCTGACTGCCCAGCACCTTGGACGCCCGCCCGGACGCCCCCAACAGGACACCTGGTCACGTGTCGGAATCGCTCTCCTCATCGGAAGAACGCGGCCAACCCAAAGAATGGCTTAGTGTGTGAGAAGACTGGCTTATCCAGGATGTGACCCAGGGTTCCAGAAGTCTCTTTCTAAACCGACCCCCTCGTGGAGCCTGGGAAGACGCAGAAGCTGCAAGAAGCGCTTGGAGCAACCACCACGTTCTTCGACTCTCCACCCTTCTCCTAAAGCTGACTGTGAGATTGAATCTGGAGGGAGAACGCGGTGTTCTGGAAGGCCCTGGCAAAGCGGGCTCCCCTCCGATGGCTGTGCCCAGAGGCCCAGGGCGAGGGGGGAGAGCGGGTGGCGAAGCCTAAAGTCTCTGCTGGCGCCCGGCGGCCTGGTGCCTTGGCCTCCACGGGTGAGGAGGCCCAGCCAGCGGCGGAGGCTGCCCGAGGAGCGACGGCGAGGAGGGGAGGCGCTTACCCACTGAAGTCACTGCCCTGGGCCTGGGCCTGCCCAGCAATGGCGTCCATGATGGCGTCCTGGGAGTACATGCTGATGGGCGTGTTGTACTGCGCATGGATGATGGTGGCCTTGCCGCCCAGCCCCTTCACCTCGATGGGCTTGTGGGTGGACAGGGCCGAGTCCTTCAGGGCGCTGGGGTTGAACCGCTCCTGGTAGTCGGCGCTGGGGGAGGGCGGCGGGGGCGCAGGAGGAGGGAGGGAGGGAGGCAGGAGGAGAAAAGGCAACAGGTGGTGTTACAGGAGGCCGGGCCGAGGGCGGGCGGCGGAGACACTCCCGAGGCCGGACCGTGGCCCACCCGAGCCGCCCAGCTGTGGCCCGCTGGCTCTGGAAGGGAGAGCCCTCAGCACCCGAAGCGCTCCGCAGGCGGTCCTGCCCGTCCACCGCCCGGGGCAGCAGGGGGCGCCAGGCAGCGGAGCGCTCTCACCCCGCGGCGGGAAGCGGAGACTCGCAGGCCACGAGCTGGGCCTCGAGCAGGCAGCGGCGGCCCAAGCCCAAGCAGGGTCGGGAACCCCCCAAAGGCAAAAAGCAGCCGCACGGGGCGCCCCGGGGCTTCAGAGCACGTTCCTCCGTGCAGGACCTCGTCCTGCTGGGCCTCCCGCTCGGTGGCGTGGGGCTCCGCTGTGCCGGGGGCTCCGGGGGCTCCGGGGCAGGTGCGTCTTCCTCCGGGCCAGACGCAAGGCTGCTCGGCCTCCCGCAAGTCCACCTGGCCGCGGCCTCTGGGGCCCGCCCAGCGCGCTCTCCCCGCCTAGGTGAGCACGCTCGGGTGAGAGGGGGTGCAGCCCGGCCGGGGCCGCCAGGATGCCGGCGTCTTCGGGCTCCCGGGGACCCAGCCCCGGTGCAGCACACCTGCGCGGCACACCTGCACCCGCCGCCCCCACAGCCGCCTGCCGGCCTCGAGCAGCCGCAGCAGGCAAGAGGGAAGGGAAGGCAATGAGACAGCGCTGGCGCCCTCCCCGGCGCCTCCACTCCGACCCTGCAGCTCCACACACATGCAGGCTCGCTCAGGGGCACGTAGGCACGCCCACGCACACATGCACACGCATGTACACATGCTGCCACGGCCGCACTGTCCGGGTCTACGCACACGGACGCATGCGGGGATGTGCACACGAGCGCACGCACATGCTTTCCTTTGATACTAACTTGGCTGGAGAGTTGGCTACCACCTGGGGAGGAAAGAGCACAGAAGACAGAGGCATCAGTGAGGTCCTGCGGGCCGGGGTGCAGGGACCGCCCCCAGGACCACCCCGCATCCGCAGAGGATGGGGGGGTGTGGGGAGCTCAGAGTCAGGGGGGGCCAGAGTTTGGGTCGGATGTGCTGGCGGCGCTGTGTCCCCCTCAGTAGGCGCACAAGTCCCCAAAGCTTTGCCGGGAGTAAGGGGTCTCCAGTCCATGTTCACAGGCACCCCACGCGCCCTGGCTGGAGACCCCAAGTCAGGAAGGCGCAGAGGGAGGCGGGACGACGGCGGCTGCCCCGGGCGAACCAGAACCCGGGCTGCAGGTGCCCCCAGCTGGTCAGTGGCTCTGGGCCTCCCACTTACAACTTCCACGTTTAACAGGGTCAGTTCTGGGGGCTCCTCTCCCGGAGCAGGACTGCTGCGGTGGCCGCGGTGCTGGGGTGCACGCTGGGGTCACCCACTGCCCCCTGACATACCCTCCCTCCTGGAGGAGGGCAGGTAGCCCTGGCGGCTCCTTCTGGGGCTCCAGGGTGGGTGCAGTCCCCAGTGATTGCCCCTAAGGGCCCCATGGAGGGTCAGGAGAGCTACTGGCTCCGGGGCTTATTGCAGGAACGACCCCTGCCAAGGCAGCCCAGCTTGGACACAAGGGGACCCCACCCTCACTTTCGTCTGGAGCGAACCTCCGGGAACACTATGTCCTGGGGGACGCAGGGTCTGCGGGACGTTTCCTTAGATGCATATCCCTGGCAGGGCAGGCCCTGGCAGAAACCTGAGAGGAGAGTGCAGAAGGTGGCACCCCTGCCCCCAAACTGCCGCTCTCCCAGCTCAGGCCGCTGCGGGCTCTGGCTGGGAGCCTGGGCCCCAACCGCCTGCCCCTGCCCCTCCCTGGGCCAGCACTGTGGGGAGCCAGGCCAGAGCCGGGGGGGGGGGGGGGGGGCCTCGAGCCCCAGGCCCTACGCTGCTTGGGAGCTGATACGGTTCCCTCGGTTACAGGTCCTCTGGCTCCCACGGCGCCCAGTGGAGCTATATTAGGAAAGACGTTCCATCCCGTCTCCATTTCGGGCCAGCGCCGACAGCTGCAGGGTCAGCCCTCGCCCTGACCAGCCCGGGGCCCTAGGGAGGGCGGCGCCAGCCAGGGTGGGAGGGGTCCCGGCGCCCGGCGTCCGGCGGCCAGCACCTTTCTTGGCTTTGACTCCGGCTCCCCGCTTGGCTCCACCTGAGGCCCTGGAGGCTGAGGCCCGTGGGCCATGGTGGATGGCTCGGGGCGGAGCCAGGGGACGAGAAGCTGAGGAGGTAGGACCCACCCAGTGGCCTGAGGGATTGACCTCTCACGCCCTGTCAGGGAGGAGGGAAGCGGGCTGCAGGGACACTCTGCCACCTCGCCCCTGCTCGTCCCTCCCATCCCCCCGAGGGGACTCAAGCTGCCAAGCAGTCGAACCCGCGAGTCCAGAGAGGACAAGGAGGGAGCTCCCTTCCGGAGCCAGGCCGGACAGAGTTCAAATCCCGACCCTGCATCCTCCTGGGGACTCTGTGCAGGTCCCCGCCCGCCAGTCTCAGCTTCAGCCCCTTACTCACGGAGTCGGGACAGCAGTGCCCACGGTGCAGACGGGTCGTGCACCCTTAACAGAACCCTGAGCGTAAAGCCCTCGTCGTGGCTTGAGCGTGTACCCGGCTGATGCGGGGATTGGCCTTTACCAACCCTGTCTCCCCGGAGTGCTTAGCCACTGGGCCACGGCGCAGCCTCGGCCAGCCCAGGTCAGGGGCTCCCCTCCCGGCCCGCGTCACCTGGGGGCAGCAGCGCCAGCCTTGCCCACGGTTGAAGCCCTGCGCCCCTGCCCGCGGCCCACCTCCCCGCAGACACCTTGGGCCCTGCTGCTCTGAGCGCCCGGTAATAATCAGACGTTCGCCAGCTTCCGGGAAGCCCCTGCAGTGGCAGGAAGGTGCCACCGGGGCCGCGGGAGGCTGGGGCGGGGCTGGCCCTCGACCTCCCCGGGCACCCCGTCAGGTAGGGAGGAGCCAGGCCTTTCCGGCGCCCAGCCCGTCTGCCCTTGCTAGCTGTGTGCCACCTTGAGCCACTCACCCGCTCCGGGCGTCTAGGTTGCGCTAAGAGGAGGGAGAGACACGGCTGATCTCTGAAGCTGCGGGGAGCCAAAGGTCTCGGAGCACGCGGACCGTTAGCTGGCTCCAAGCCTAGACTGCGGGCCCGTATGGGACTGCCCCATTCTTTGGGTTTTCTGGCGGAATGTCCTCGCTAGGAAAAGCCCGGGGCCCATGGCTCTGCCACTTTGGTCCAAGGGAGCCAAGGTCCGGGTGCTTGGGCTGTGGCGTGCACGAGGCCAGCTTCACTTGGGGTCCCAAAGAGCTGAGGGTCATGGGTGGCTGGCGCCAGGCGGGGGAGCAGCAAACTGTTGGGGGGCAGGCCCTCGCTGGAGCAAAGGCAACGGAAAGGCACGGACGCAGGTTAGGATTGTGACGCGGGGGCGCATCCATGTGACCCAGGGAGCACACGGCAAGGGCGCCCGTAACCCGGAGAGCCTGCACGGAGGGGAGCCCTGAAGCCCTGACCTCCAGGCTCAATCGCCTCGACTCCGTGTGCTCTGCCTCTGGAGCACACGGATCCTGGGATCACGCGGGAGAAGCTAGAGGACCACACAGGAAGGGCCTAGAAGCTGGTAGGGCCTGGGCTTGGGGGTCTGTCCCCTCAGCCCCCACACGATGCCCACCCTGGGCTGTAGGTTCCTTTAGCTCCTGCGCTCGCAGAGCCCCACCAGCTGGCTCGGGGTGGGGGCGGGCCCCTTTCCCCTTGGGGTCCTGCTTCCTTGCCTTGTCCCTCCTCAAGGGTCAGTCCTACAAGCCCAGGACACCCACCCCATCGCTGCACCTTTCCGCACCCAGCTCAGGCACCCCCTCCTGCAGGCAGCCTTCCCAGCCCACGCCCATCCCCCGAATCCTGCCCTGCTCCTGCCTCATGGCTGCTGGGGGGACCAGCCTGACCCTCGGCCCAGTTCCTGGAGGCAGCAGGCGTCCCCTTACCCGGGGCGGCGGCCTGAGCCTGGGGAAGTCCGCGTCTCTCGCATTCAGACCTCACTCAGCCCCTTAGCAGTGGGACAGCTGGGCCTCGACCTGACCTCCTCTGAGCCTCAGTTTCCCCCTCCGCAGGATCCAGCAGTCACCCCAGGCTGTGTAAAGCAATGACCCGTCAGCTCAACTACCTCAAGGCGAATCTACTTGCGGGGCCGTTGCTTATCTGGCTCGGGCCTGGCCACCTCCTGGGCCGCGGAGGGCCGCTCCTGGGCCACCGCCTGCCAGGCCCCGGTGAGCACTGAGGACCTGGCCCAGACCAACTGCAGGGAGCTGGGCGCTACCTACCCTCCTGGGAGTCCGGCCCCCCAGGCCTTCCCTCCGAGGCTCATCCGATACACCTGAGCCATCTCCCTCAGGGTCTCGGCCGAGTACAGGCCAATGGGGTTGTTGTACTGCGCAGGCCTGCCCTGCCCTCTCGGTCCCGGGGCTCCCTCCATGCCCGGGCCCCCCCTTGGGGGGCTCTGGGAGAAGGAGGGGCTGGGGCTGGGCCCGAGCTCCGGGGGGCCCGGGGAGCCGGGGCTGCATGCCGTGGGGCTGCCGCTCGTGTCCCCAGCAGGGTCCTGGCCGGGGCAGCGCCGTGAGGGGAGAGAGGAGAGAGCAGTTAGAGGCCGCAGCGTCCCAGCGCCCCTGCACCCCTGCGCCCACCTGAAACAGGGGCGGCTGGTGAGCACCCTGCGCCCCCCAGCCTGCACCCTGCGTTCTGCATGCACCCTGTGCCCCACACCCCACATCCTGCACCCCACAGCCTGTACCCCGCACCCACACCTGTGCCCCACACCCCACGTCCTGCACCCCACAGCCTGCACCCTGCACCCACACCTGCACCCCATGCCCTGCATCCTGCACCCCGCGCCCCTCAGCCACTGTGCAGAGCTCAGGAGGGCACAGGCCGACACCAGACACCTGGAAGGGAAGGGCTTTGTCGGCAGGCGGAGGGAGCCGCGCGTCCCTGGCCCTGAGGCTGACAAAGTGGGGGCCCCACCTGAAAAGTCAAGCCCTCCTGCAGGGCTGGGCGGAGAGGGGCACGGATCTCAGGGAGTTGGGGAGCCCTTTCTATCCTCTCTCTGCCCCCCTTCCCCTGAGTGGCAGCTCCTGTGGCCCAGCCCCACCTCCTGTCCCCGACCCCACACTGAGATGCCCCCCACCGCCCCCCGCTGGCAGGTGCAAGAGGGGGGAGACTAGGGAATGACCTTTGGCTCACAGCCCACCTCTGCAACTTCTCCCGAGCAGCCCTCTGCCCCTTTGCCCAACCTGTCACCCACCCCAAGCCCGTCAGCCTCTTCCTGTTCCCTGCCCCCACCTGCCTATCCCCCCCACCCACTGGACAGACAGGGGGCAGTATGGGGTGGTGCAGGGAGGGGTGAGGCGAGCGCCCCCGCTTTGGGTCAAGGCCTTCCGCCCATGGGCTGAGCTGCTTACAGGGACCCGGGAGTGTGGCAGGGGTGCTGGTGTCCCCCTGCACCTGCTGCCTGGCTACCACCCGCACCTCCAGTGGGGCTGACGGGCGGTCAGTCGGGAGGGAAAGTGGAAACCGCAGCGAGACCCGAAGTCAAAGGATAAACCGTGAGGCCCAGCGGGCCCCTCCCTGCCCGGGGTGGCCTCCGGCTTTCACGCCCCCTCCCAGCACCCTGTAGGCGAATGAGGGTCAGAGCCCTCCGGATACCTGCCCCCTTCGCCCCCCAGGCTGGGAGGTTGGTCCCTCTCCTAAAAACACCACGACCTAGGCTGGGTTCCCAACAGCGCAGCCGTGAGGCCCCGGGGGGCGCGAGCACCCAGGCAGGCAGCCCGCACCCGGTATTTCACTGGGGCCACCCCACAGCATCAGCAGCAGCAGGGTAGGGCTGCGCCGAGCCAGGACCAGGCAGGCCAACTCGGCACTGTACCCCAGGAAGCGCAGCCAACCTCAGCACCTACCTTCTGGTGGGGGATCACCGGCAGAGGGGACTGGACCGGGGGTGCTGTCGTGGAGATGGGGATGGGGCGCTTCGACCTGGAGAAACCAGAAAGAGGGCCAAGTAAGGACACTTGCCAGGAGGACCGGGAGCTCCTGCAGGGGCAGGGCTGGTGACAGGAGAGCATCAGAGAGCTGGGGAGCCAGGCCAGGGACCCCGAGGCCCGCTGTCCACCGCATGGATTGGGGTGACCCCAGGAAGGCCCTGGGCCTGGCCAGGATGGAGGAGGTATGGCCCTTGGGCACTCCGCACTCATGGCCTCTGTTAGGTCCCTGGGAGGCTGTCTGGGGCAGCGAGGAGCCAGGGAAGACCCTGGCTGCCAGGCCCGCCTGCCCACACGCTGGCAGCACTGTGACCGCCTCCCACCCCCTGACCTCATCCATAAAGTGAGGCTCAGGCGTGGCAGGCGTGGAAGGCCCGGACCTTCTTCCCGTCCAGAGGCCACCTCACCTCCCCGTGTGAGCCTGCAGCACAGGCCGGGCCCATGTGGCTGCTGCGGACACCCTGTCTTGGGCCCGATGCCCCCACCCCTCGACCCGTGCCCTGCAGAGCTCCACTCACTTCTGCAGCGTGAGACTCAGGTTGTAGCTGGCAGACTTGATCTTGTTCTGGGCTTCCAGGTGGGTCATGGTGTCTGTGTTGACTCCATCGATGGCCACCACGAGGTCACCCTGGCTGAGCTGGGACTGGGCGGCCTTGCTCCCCGGTGTGATCTGAGAGGATGGCAGATGGGGGGGGTGAGTGCACGAAGGGGGGACTGAGGATGGGCCAGTCGTCAGGGAAGAGTCCCCTGGGGTCATCCAGTAGAGGCCTGCCAGGTCCTCTTTTGTTCACCGTGGCCAGTGCCCGCTGCTCACCACGTGCGACTCCCCCGCCCGGCACACCGCCACCCCTGTGCCTAGCGTCTTGCGGCGAGTGCGACCGCGAGACTAGCTCTCTGCCCCCAGCACCCGTCCTTACCACGCTGCGCTCCCTCTGCTTGTTGGCAGGCTGGGCACAGAGGGCCCAGAGGGGGACAATGAGCCACTAATGGAGGGACCCGAGCCCTACGGTCGCTGCCTGGAGGACGGATGATTAAGAAGCGCTGCATCAGATGTCGCACAAGTGAGAAATGAGCTTCTGCTAGGCTAAGCCGTTGAGGCCTGGGGGCTTTGTGACACCAGGTCCCCTAACCTGCAGTCCGTACGGTAGCAATATGATGTCTGCACCCCCAAATACCCACGGGGCACTTTCTGGGCTCCGGGAGAGAGGGTATGCGTACAAGCGGACACTCAGCACCACTGCAGACTCGACCGGGCTAGCAGGCAGGACAGATGCACCGTCACAAAGCGTCCCAGTGCAGGTGCCTAGTGCCACCATGGCAGGTGGGGGAGCTAGGGAACCCCGCCTGGGGAAACCAGGTCCCCAGGGGCAGGCGGCAGGGCTCAGCGCTCTGGGGCTGGCTCCGTACTTCCAGAAGGCGTGGGGACCATGTCCCAAATCCCTGCCAGCTAATGACATCACTGCGTGTTAGAGTCCGAGGGTCCCCCACCATGTGATCACTCAGAACACTGCAAATGCGGCACCCCAAGAATACCCCAAGCACGTCAGGAAGGCCACACTCCAGGGACATCACGTGGAACATCATGGTGGCTCAGACGCTCTCCCGATGACGTCACGCACAAGGCCTGCAAGCCTGGCCCCTGGTAGCGGCGGGCTGAATGTGGTGGTAGCCGCCCCCCTCCTCGGTGACGTCACTCGAAGCGGAAAATTCTGGAGGGCCTGGGTGATGTCACCTACAATGACTTGACGGCTGACCCCTAGTGACGTCACATGGGATGGAAGAAGCTCCGCTTCTAAAGGCGTCTCGTGGAATGCCACAGAGACTGGCCTTACCCTGGCGCCCCACATTGTGTCACCGCACGAAGTACCAGGCAAGCCCTACCCCCTACTGTAACACGCAGAATGACCTTACGACGCGACGCCCAGGACATCACGGGGAGGCCCCCTTGGGACACCGCGGGGAATGCCGGCCAGGCCTCTGGGAGGCTGTAACTGGAGGACGGCCCTTGGCTCTTCTGCGCCAGCATGCCCACCGGCCAGCTTCCTGGCTTCCCAGTCACCTTCCTGTCTACCCCAGGGACAAGGCTGGCTTCTCGAGCTGGCGGGAGCCGTTTTCTGGCGCTGGCCCGAGGGACCATCCTAGAAGGAGTCCGAGGAGGACTCAGGGAAAGTCCCCTACCCTGGGCGCCAGGCCTGGGTGAGCCTCTGGCCAGCCTCCTGCCCCGCCTCCCCGCGGGACCTTCCCCGAGCAGGGCCACCATGTCACCAGCCTCCAGTCCCCGTGGGCTCTACAAGGCGGGCCACGAGCCGCGAGTGCTAACCCAGGGACAGCAGCAAGAGGGGGGTCCTTGCAGTGGCAGTGCTCCGTTCACCCCGGGCCCATGCTAACTTCACAAGCACTGGCCCCTTGTGCCCAGACAGCCCCCCCCCCCGCCCCGGCCCCAAATCCGCTGAGCATGGCGGGGACAGCGGAGGCAGCATCCCTGGGCTCCGGGAAGCCAGGCCCAGCCCCCTCTCCTGCTCCTGCGGGCCCCTCCCAGGCTCGTGGCTGCGGGGCTTGCACGACCCACAGGAGCTGGTTATTTCCTCTGATTTCAGGGCTTGAACAAAGGGTAGAAACAGAGAAAAAACAAACACTTCCTGGCCGAGAGGGGACTCCCGAGGGCAAGCTGCCCACCCAGAAATTCGCCTTTCCCGATGGTCAGACCCGTGTGATACCCGACGTCGGACTATCCACATCCTCAAGCAGAGAAAACCCGGAGAGAATTCTACGGAGGGCCCACACACGCCTCGGCGGGCGTCTACACCAACGGGATGGGCGTCTACTGCGGCGTGGTGGGTGTCTACCCTGGTATGGCAGTGGGTGTCTACCCCGGTGTGCGGCATCCTCTGCCCGCCTCTCGCTATGTCCCCCACCTTAGCCTACACGCATTTCCCAGAAATGGCAGATACCAGCTTGTTTCCTCGGGTGACCTGTACAGCACCTCTGCTGCCCTAGCAGGACACCCTAGGGGGGGTCCCACTGGACTCCCCCCACCGGGGTCACCCCCCAGGCCCCCTACATGAGGGTCATCCTCTCAGGGCCCCCCCACTGGGGTCACCCCACCACGCTCCCCACACCAGGGTCACCCTCTCAGGGCCACCCTACCAGGGTCACCCCCCAGCTGCTTCTCACCATCTCCAGAGCGGTAAGGTGCCCCGAGGTGGGCCACCCCAGACCCCAGACAGAGTGGAGGCTGCCAGGGGTGGAGCATGTTGGGGGAGCACAGATGACCATGGGAGCAAGGACACCAGGGTGGTGTCCAGGAGCTGCTGGGCCCGATGAGCTGGGGCCACGTGGGCCTGTCCGTGTCCCCCCCCCCCAGCGGCCCACGACATCTGCCTTCTCAGGAACCAGCGCACCACACCTTCCCACCAGGCCACCGCCTCCCCCTTGCCCACTGCCCGGTCCTCGGGTATAGGTCGGACAATCCCCATTCCCGGGGTCCCAGCGGGCTCCTGCCTGCCCCGGCGCCCTCCTCCTGCACCTATGGCTGCTCGTCAGGGCTCGGCTGGCCCGGGCAGGGTAAGGGTGCCGGGGGCACTGCTGGGGCTCCGGGAGCACAGTCCAGTCTCAAAGCCCCTTGGGACAGGCTCTTGGTGTTTGGGGGGCCAGGCCTGCCAGCAGATCAAGGAGCCCTTCCTCCTCGCGGGGCCATGGTCGAAGGCACCTGAGAGGGGACCCAGGGCTAGTCGGGGTCAGGGCGCAGCCATGGCCCCCACTACCGTGGGCGCCTGGTGCAAAGGCAGTAGAGCCGGGCCGTGGGCCGGAGTCAGACCTGAGGGTACAGGGCGGCCTGCACAGCCCACGTGAGGACAGCGGCAGCACCCTCCTCCCACGAGGGCCGGGAGGGTTACATTTTTAAATGTGTTGCTCTAGAAGGAGGTGCAGAGCCGAGAAGGTTTCCGGGGGGCTCCTGACGGGGGAGGTGCAGGCGCTGGCTGTGCCCCGGCCCCTGGAGGGTGCCTGGCTGGAGGCTGGGAAGCTGCGTCCCTGGCTCTGCGGGGAAACAAGATCTGGAGCTGGCGGGGGGGCCCCCTCCTACTGGCCGGGCCCAAGCCAGCCTGCTGTCCCCAGAGGGGCCCGAGCATCAGCCGGAGGGGAGAGTGCTGCCCAGGGTCCCAGGGAAGCAGAGCACTGGCTGGGCCCAGCCGCCAGGGGCCTCTGTTTCCCCAGGTCCCCACAGCAGAGTGGGTGACGGGGCCCTCGGCCATTCCCAGCCGTCACGCTCCGTGCTCAGAACCACAGGCCCTGGCCTCGCTGCCCCTCTGGGTGTGCGGCGTCGGTGGGGTCGGGCCCAGGCGGCAGGGGGAGGTAGCAGGTGCCGTGGGCTGCGCAGTTTCCAGCTTCTCCTCTGCACCCTCCCACGCCGACCACCCCAGCACACTTGCCACAGAGCCCTAAGCGCATTCGGCTTCGTGTGATTAAGTTACCATCCCCCGTGCTCTGCTCCCTTCCCATCTGGCCTCCCCGGGGGCCTTGCTCCATCCCTCATGCTTTCACCGGAACCTTCTGTCTCTCATAAAGAAGCCAGGGTCGTGTCTAGGCTCCAGAAGCCCCTCCTTGCACAGAGGATTTCTGCGGCAGAGAGAACATCTGTGATGCCGTGTTGCGGGTCTGTGTCGTTGGCCCCAGCCCGTGGAGGGAATGACACGAGGAGTGGACCCACGTGTAAACTGTGGACCCTGGGTGATACTTGTGTGCCAGTGTAGGTTTAGGATTTATAATAAACATGTCACTCTTGATAACGAGGGGAGGGAGGCTGTGCACGTGTGGGGCGGGGGGCATCTGGGAACTCTGTACCTTCCACTCAATCTAGCTGGGAACCTAAAACTGCTCTTGAAAAACTAAGTCTTTAGGGACGCCTGGGGGGCTCAGCGGTTGAGCGTCTGCTTTTGGCTCAGGGCGTGACCCCAGGGTCCTGGGATCGAGTCCCTCCTCCGTCTCCCCGCATGGAGCCTGCTTCTCCCTCTGCCTGTGTCTCTGCCTCTCTCTCTCTCTCTCTCAGGAATAAATAAATAAAATCTTAAAAAAAAAAAAAAAAAACAAAGCACTAAGTCTTAAAAAAAAAAAGAAAAAAAGGTCCTCCCTGCCTTAGCTCCTCCCACTGGCTCTTTTGGTCTCCTTTCTTCCCCCTGCTGGCTTCTCCAAGGACGAGCAGCAGGCCCCGCTCCCCGCTGCCTCCCACCCCTCTAGCGCCCAGCCCCACCGCTTCACACATTCCAGTGACCTCCCTGTGCCCCAACCCGGGGACACGGGTCCCCTCTCTTGCTGGCCACACCATTCCCTGGCCTCCGAGCCTGTCTCCCCGGATCCCGCAGTGCCTTGTCCTGGTGTCAGTAGAAGGCTCCCATGGGCCTGTCACTCCCAGTGGGCCCCAGTCAGCCCCGGGAGGGTGGGGGGCAACCCCTTCGTGCCTTGTGGGCTGCTTCCTGGCTCCAAGGAGGCGCCGACGCTGTGTGCAAGTCGGCCTTGCTCAGCGCTGCCATCCCCCCGCGGCTTTAGCTCAGGAGCCCCGGGGCCGCCCCGGATGGGCCAGTCCTGTGTCCTGTGTCTTGTGTCCTGGCCACGGCCGGGAGGGTGCGCTCCTCAGGGCCCGGCCGCCTCCACCACCGCCTTCGGAGCCCTTACAGGGTGCGCAGCGGCTCCGCACCCCCGAAGGAGGCAGGCCGGGCTGGGGCCTGGCAGGGACCTCCACGACGCGTCCCCGGCCGCGGCCCCTGTTGGGTTAGCCTCCCCACTCGCGGCCGGGGAAGGGCCCTGCCAGCCTCCCGGCAGCCTCCGGAGGCTTGCCTGACCTTCAGCGCGGCTATAAACAGCTCAGCCTGTCAGCACCATGAGGCGCTGCCCGAGAAACCGCGCTATGGCCTCAAAATTCCAGGAATGGCACAGTTAACCCGGAATAGTCGCGGCCTGCCCCCCTCCCTCCACCGGGGACCCTCTGTCCTCTGAATCCCCACGCCGCCCGGAGCTAGGAGATCTGACACAGACTGGAACAGAGAGGCGCGAAGGAGCAGAGGCCTCTGGGCTGGTGCCCCGGGGAGCCTGCAAGGCCCGAAGGATGAGGCCGTAGGGCCAGGGCCTTGGAGCAGGGAGCCGCTCCCCTCCGCCCCGGGGGGCTCCCCGGGCTCAGCCCACAGCTCCCCAGCCTCGCTGCCACCCCGCCACAGGGGGAACCAGGAGGAACGACAGGTGCCCGCGGCTGCCCTGGTGGTGCTGGAAGCGCTGCCACGTGCACGTCCCCACGTCACAGAGGCCGCAACAAGGTTGGGCAGTAAAACCCTCTTTTCTCAGGCGACGCTGGGAGCAGAGGACCAGGGTGCGCCTCTTCTCCTGGCCAGGGGAGGCTGGCCTCTGCAGCCGCTCCTTGGGGCCCCCCCACCCCTGGAGAGCTGGCTGGGGCTGGGGGGCGGTGAGCGGAGCTCATGTTGCAGGCCCAGCCGCACCTGTCCGGGATAAATAAAGGCATTTCCCCTCTGCCCTCCCATTCTGCCTCCTGCGCCCCTTCTCTGCGGGTCCTCAGCCTGGGGGTGGGCAGGCCGCCCAGGGCTCTCCCGCTGATCCCTCGCCCAAGGGCGGAGGGCGGGCCAGGGACGAGGGGTGACTGAGGTCACGGAGCGCCTGAGTCTGGGTGAGCAGGCGCCCGCCTCTCCCAGGACGTGTCCGGCCCGCCCCCGCGGCCCCGCCTTGCCCACCCCCCACGGCAGATGCCACCCGTGCCCTGCCGCAGAGCCTCCGCCGGCCAGGGCAGCCACTGCGGGAGAAGCCTCCCACCCGGCAGGACACGCCGCAGCCCAGCGGGACAGGGGCCCAGCAGCCGGGGCATCGGGGATCGGGGCCCCCAGGGAACCAGAGGGCCCAGCACAGCTGGCCCGTGGTCCTGACTATGGGGGCGCCCCTGAAGGAAGCCGCCGGGCCCTGCACCTCAACCTGCTGCCCCCCGGAGCCGCGGCTCCTGCTTATAAAAGCCCTCAGGCATGGGCTCCGTGCCGTCCCAGCGTGGCTTTCCCTGCGGTGGGGACAGTCTTCCTGCCGTCTAGCTTAAGGCCTCCCTGCTGCAATACAAGCCCAGGCAGCCGAGGCCAGGTGGCGCATAGATCCTGGGTGAGGTCATGGGCTATCCTGGTGCCACTGAGCCTGGAGGCTGGTTGCCACCCACTGGGGCAGGGGCACCAGCGTGAGGCCTTGAGGACTGTGGGGCTGGGGGACACGTGGCTCGGGCCCAGGCCTGGGGGGCTGTGGACCCATGACAGGGAGGAGGACAGCCCCCGGGCTGCTGGGGCACCATGTGGTGCCCTGGGGGCCAGCCGTGTGCACAGGGCTCATATGCCCACACAGCACATCAGCAGGCGGGGGTGCCAGGCCCTGGGTGTCCTCGGGGCTGCACGCTGTGGTCCCCAGGGTGGAGGGCCTGCAGCCCGACCTCCGGTGGGTGATGAGCCTGGCCCCTCTCTGGGCTGGAGCCAAGCCAGTGCCACCCCCCCCACCCCGAGGAGCATGGCCTCTCTAGCTGTTACAGCAGCCCTGAGGGGGCTCCTCCTTCTTGGGGTCCCCCTGAGGGACACTGCTCCTGCACCGCCCCCTCTGCCGAGCCCTCCAGACCTTCCGCGGCTGCCAACATGCCCGCCCCAACCCCGAGGCCCATGGCGAGTCTCTGCTGTCCTGGCCCATCCGTCCCCCCCAGTGACAGCCTAGAGCCTCAGCCCGCGCCCTGGACCCCACAGCAGCAGGGACCCCATCAGGCAGGGCTGGTCTCCACCCGCCCACACCTCACATCCCACCCTGAGCCCCGAGGTCTTCACCCCAGCTCTGCCAGACTTGCTGGGGGCCGCTCCACGAGGGTGACCAGAGTGCCTGCCATGCTCTGGACGCTGGTGTAGATCCTGGGGACCCGGCAGCACTTGAGACCCGGAAAGCTTGGTCCCAAGCACATGGGGCTTCTCGCCTCTCTGGACCTGAATGTCTCCGGCCGGGCCAAACACGGACTGAGCTGTGACGCCCCGGCAGGCTGGTCCCTGACCACAGACGCCGCAGAACTCACACATGGGCCGTTCCCCCCGGGTGGGCGAGCAGAACGAGACGTCAGACAGGCAGTCAGGGCAGCTAAATGGGTGGGGGCTCAGCCAGGGGAGGGAGGAAGCTGCCGGAGGTCCCCAGCAGGCCCTGGAGGGCGGCGGGGGGCTGAGGTGACACGGTCACCCAGGTCCCACGGCAGCGTGGGGGCTGGGGCACAGTTACCGGCCAGCATAGGCCCGGGCCCCGACAGCAGGCAGCCAAAGTCATCAGTCTACCCGCGTCCACCTGCGCTCTCTGTGCTAGGAGTGCTCTGGCCACAAAGCAGCTGCCCAGGTCCCCCGAGATGCTCCAGGCTTGGGGGCACTCTGGGTCCACCCTTCCTGGGGAGGCCTTAGGCGGGCACTACACCTGGCCACCTGCTGCCCACGCAGCAAGCGTGGCATTGCCTTCTTGGCTCAAAACACCCACCACCTGCCCGTCTTCCGCACCCACGACGGGATGGCGGGCTCAGGTGGACCGCAGCCACGGCCGAGACCAGGGCCCGTGGCCGGCGTATCCCGTTGGAGCCCCAGACTGCGGATGGACACGCACAGCTTTGCCGGAGCCTCCGGGAGGGTGGTGGAGGGATGGAGGGAGTCCACCGCCCCCTCTGGCTGTGCCCCGTCCCTGTGGGTGCCAGGCTGCGCGGGTGGGACACTCACCCGGGAGATAGTGAGTGGCATGTTGAAGTCCTTGCCCCCCTGGAGACGGAAGCCCCAGGGCCCAGGCCCGGTCAGGGTCACGCTGTACGACATGCTTGTGCTGACCGCGGCGGCCTCTGCAGGTGAGACAGGAGGGGAGTGAGGGCCCTCGGTGCCCAGCTCCCGCCCGCAGCGCGCCCCACCCCGACCCAGCCTTGCCTGCTCCGTCCCTCGGTCTGGCGGCTGCGTGGAGCTCCCGAGACGCTCCTAAGAATAGCTGGGAACGAATGCCCTGGACACTGATATCTGCCCTCTGCTGCGCCCATAAATGGGCTGTAACCCTACACTCCGCCACCCGCCGCCTCCCACAGTGACTCACCGGCTAATATTGCCCCCGGGGAGGGGAGTCCGGCACTCAGCACCCCCCCGGGGGCAGGACGGGGCCTGCCGCACTGGCAATAACGCTGCCCCCGCCCTCGACAACCCAGATGTGTGTGCTCCCCGCCACGCTCAGTCCCCGCCCCTCCACCCAGGGATGCGGTGGGCTCCGACGCGGACATCTGTCCATCCTGGCTGCCTGCGGAGCCCCCCGAGGGTGCGGCGTTTTCCCAGGACGGCCCGGGACCAGGCTGCGCCTCTAGTTGCTCTGGACAGAGTCTGCCCAGGAGGCCGGCGCCCGGCCCAGGGTCGTCCAGCTGTAAGAGTGACGGTGACAGTAACGGGAGCTCTGGGCTTGGCCCCAGGAGCCCGAGGGGCCGCCCCACCTCCCTGCAGCCACCCGGGCTCAGGGAGGTGACATGACGTTTCCAAGGTCACACAGGGAGCGCACCCAGGCCACCTGGAGCACCTGAGTGCTGCTCGTTCCTTCTGCTCTCGTGCCGGGTAGTGAGAGCCCCGCGGCCGTCGGCGGCTCCCGACACCCAGAGCAGGCACCGAGTGAAGGGCACAGGGGCCTGGCTCAGGGTCGGGAAGCGGGTCGGTGCCCGGCAGGCTCACACCCTCCAGACCCCCCAGGGGCCCGGAGGTTATTCGTGGCTCTCCTGTCTCATTTGTGCTCTGGAAAACTTGACAGCAGCATGGAAAGCTCCAGCTGCCAAGGTCGCATGCCAGGTCCCCGTGCCCTTTGCACTGGAATGGCAGGGGGCAGGGAGGAGGGGAGGAGATGCCATTTGCTCAGCTGCTGGGACGCGGGGCCAGCAGGCATAAGGACGGGGAAGTGCGTGCGGCGTGTCAGCCCGTAACCCAGAGACAGTGTGTTCTGGGCAGGTGGGTCCCGGGCCCCCAGGTCTCTAGCCAGGGAGGCCTTTGGGCCAAGATCCCTCCAGAAGCCCTTAGAAGAGACCTCAGGCCCTGTGAGGCCTGGAGATAGTTCAAGCCTTCCTGGCTCTAGGCTGGGGAAACTGAGGCTCACTGAAGGGGAAGGTGACTGGACTGGCTGCTCCGCGGCCCTGAGGACCCAGCGCATGGACTGCAGGCCTGGCAGGGGCCCCACACCACAGGGGCACCTGTAATTCGCTGAAGTCCACAAAGATACTGAGTGCAAGGAGCAAAGAGCAACGTGTACCCCTTGCCCACGGTGTCACCTCGCCTGCTGTGTGTCCTGTAGCCCGACCTCCTACCCCAGTCACATCTGGCCCAGAAAGCCCGGCTGGGGCCAGCACCCCACACCCCCCGCCCCAGGCCATCCCCTGCCCCAGCCCCAGCCCCATCCCCATCCCATCCACCCCCACCTGCAGTTTTACCCCCTTTCCTGGGAGGGGCTGGTCCTGCCAAGCTGGAGAGGACCCAACAACCAGTCAGACTAGGGTGGGGAAAGGATGGAACCTGAGCTGCCCCCACAGGGGGAGGGGAAGCTGGGGATGGAGAATGGAGGGGGGGCCTGTAGGCTCTTTCTGAGTCTTTGGTCAGGGTTAGGAGCCTCTGGGGATGGAGCCAGAAGGATGCTCTTAAAGGAGAAGGCCAGCCTCCCTCCATCTGCCTCCCCTGGGAGGTCAGAAGCCAGCCCAGCCAGAGAGCAGCTGGTCCCCACTGCGGGCACAAACTGCTTCCTGCTAACAGCGGCTCCTGGGGCAGTGGGGACGGCTCCTGGGGCAGTGGGGATGGCTCCTGGGCAGTGGGGACAGCTCCTGGGCAGTGGGGACGGCTCCTGGGGCAATGGGGACAGCTCCTGGACAGTGGGGATGACTCCTGGGAGAGTGGGGACGGCTCCTGGGGCAGTGGGGATGGCTCCTGGGGCAGTGGGGATGGCTGGTAGGCAGTGGGGACAGCTGGTGGGCAGTGGGGATGGCTGGTGAGGAGTGGGGACAGCTCCGGGGCAGTGGGGATGGCTCCTGGGCAGTGGGGATGACTCCTGGGAGAGTGGGGACGGCTCCTGGGGCAGTGGGGATGGCTGGTAGGCAGTGGGGACAGCTGGTGGGCAGTGGGGATGGCTGGTGAGGAGTGGGGACAGCTCCTGGGCAGTGGGGATGGCTCCTGGGCAGTGGGGATGGCTGGTGGGCAGTGAGGACAGCTGGTGGGCAGTGGGGACGGCTGGTGGGGAGTGGGGACAGCTCCTGGGGAATGGGAATGGCTCCTGGGCAGTGGGGACAGCTCCTGGGCAGTGGGGATGGCTCCTGGGGAATGGGGATGGCTCTTGGGGCAGTGGGGATGTCTCCTGGGGCAGTTGGGATGGCTCCTGGGGCAGTGGGGACGGCTCCTGGGCAGTGGGGATGGCTCTTGGGGCAGTGGGGATGGCTCCTGGGGCTGTGGGGATGGCTCCTGGGCAGTGGGGACGGCTGATAGGGCAGTGGGGACGGCTCCTGGGCAGTGGAGGGTGGCTGATGGGGCAGTGGGGACGGCTCCTGGGCAGTGGGGATGGCTCCTGGGGAGTGGGGATGGCTCCTAGGGCAGTGGGGACGGCTCCTGGGGCAGTGGGGACGGCTGGTGGGGAGTGGGGACATGGGAGCCTGCTGTGTCCCTCCTCCCTCTGCCCCTCGCAGGTTGAGATGGAGGCCTCAGGAGTGAGATCTGCGGGGCAGGGGACAGAGAAAGAGGCGGCCCAGGGAGGCAGAGGCCGGGCCTGGGTCTCTCCCCGTCCAGGCACCACAGATGGAGACCATGCTCGTTGGGGAGAATTTGTTTGCTCTTTATTTCCCTCCGCTGCTGGAGCCGTGCCCCCGGGGCGACTTGGACCACGGATTGGAGGCAAAGCGCAGGCGAGACGTGTGCACGCTTGTGCGTGGTGTGGGTGCAGAGGCGCTTGTGTAGGGGAGCGTGGGCCACGGGGGCGAGCGGAGGGGCAGCTCGGCTGCAGGCTTGTCCCCGTCACTGAAACGCCCAGCCCGGGTGCAAAGGCGGGTCCCACGCCGCTGTCGCCGTCGTCACCACCTGGACAATCACAGCACACGGCGTCTGAGGATGGGTGGACAGCTCAGGGCGCAGGAGGGCCGGGGCTCCCACGCTTGGGGCTGAGCCAGGGAAACAGGCTGGGGAGACGTGAGGTGGGTGCAGAGCACCCGCAGGCAGGGGTCGTGTGGTGCGGGCTGTGGATCCAGCATAGCCTGGGGGATGGGCCACTTGCAATGCCTGCGGGCTCATGGGGTCACCCTGGGTCTGGGGACGGGGGGAGCCAATGGGCGCCCTCCCTGCTGGGGTCCAGGCTGGGGAGCCGCCCCTTGGTTGGCAGACGGCACACGTGTTCAGTTCAAGGAGCACCCCCCTCCCCCGCAGCCATGTCCCCATGACCCTCCCCGGACAGGGTCACCGAGTGGTGGAGGGGGGCTGCTTGGAGGGGCCAGGCTGCGTCCTGCCATCTCCGACACACCACATGGCCGGATGGCCCAGGTCACCCACAGGACAGGACGTCTCCCAGGCTCTCAGGCTCCTGCAGTTGGTGGGGGGACCCCGGCTCGCCTCCCCCCCACCCCCGCCTCCCCTTTCCTGCTGCTTTTCGGGGCATCCCACATGCTCCAGCTCCCGCAGGCTTCTCCCCACCTGCTCCCGGCCCCTGCAGGGAGGCTCCGGGCCCCTCAAGGCTGCCCCAGCTGTCCCAGGGCCTCCGTGGAGTCCTCCCAGGGTCCCCTGTGCCCAGGCTTGCGGCTGGACGCCCCTCAGCTCCACACCTGATCCAGCCGCCCCCTCCCCTGGTTCCCGGCACCTCCCACCTTCTCTCCCTCACCTGTGTCCCCAGCGCCTGCTCCCAGAGTCCCTCTGGCTGCTCCCGGGCACGCAGCAACCCTGTGTCCCAGGACACAGCAGGCCTCCCAGGCCCTGCCACGTTCTCACAGCCTGGACCGCGCACCATGACCCCCCCACGTGGCCTGGAATCCTTGCTTCACCCCCACCTTCACCGGGGAGCCCTCGGGGACTGGCCTCTTCTTTCAGCACCCTGTGTGCTGATACCTCGATGGCAGTGCTTATCGCATGTGTTAGGTGACTGCTGTCGTGCTGTCCCTCCTGCCCCGTGCCCCGACCCCACCAGGACTCCCCGCAGGCCAGGCCTGGTGCCTTTCATCACCGCCACCCGCCCCGCCCCAGCCCAGGGGGCACGCGTCTCTGTCCTCTGCCCAGTGCCGGGTTCAGGCTGGGGACTCGGTCCTCCCTGGGGCTGGACTTCAAGGGAGCGGCCAGGCGTCCCCCTCCCCGGGACCCCCAGGGACCAGCCTGGGGACATGTGCGGCAGGACGTGTGGGGGGCCCCTGGGGAGAGCCCGGGTGCTGGGCGGGTGCCCGCGGAGGGGCAGGTGGGGAGCTGTGCGCTGGGGGTGGCCTCGGACCTATGCACACACGGCATTTGCAGCGTTCCAGAATATGGCCTTCTCTAATCGCCATCGACATTCCGTTCCATAGGCACTTGGGCTGACAGCTGGCCTTCTTTTAATAGCCACAAGTATTCTGGGTGACATCCTAATCTCAGGGCACTCAGAGCAAGCACACACCCGGCTGGCGGCACCCGCCCCAGGTATGTGCGGCCTCCAGCCACACACAGAGAGGTACACGCCACCCACGCTGGGTCACTCGCACCTCAGACGTGGTGGGGCACACGCAGTCCTGGCCCCTGGGACACAGGGACGGAAACACGCGCCGGGCACAGGGGCACACTCCCTTACACACGTGCTGGACAGCCACCACCACGGGCTCTGTGTGTGCAGAGTCAGGGTCACACAATCACACCGACACTCAGGGGCCATCACAGAGCACACCCGGGGCCTGCTGGGGGCCTCTTGGACTCACAGAGACGCCCTGTGCCTCCCGCCCACCTCCCGCCCCTTACCCCAAGCAGGCAAGGGAGGAACACCCAGAGAGCACTGGCCTGCCCAGGAGAATGGCACCCTTTCCCGGGCCTCCCCTGGGTGACCAGCCCCCCGTCCCCACCCCTTTACAGATGGGCAGGGGCCAGGCCCAATCACCTTCCCAGGCGTCTCCACCGCCTGTCCCCGGGGCCTGAGAGGGGCCTTGGCCTCCACGTCCTCCAGGCCCTGAGTGCAGAGGAAGCGCCCGCCCGCTGGCTGGGCAGCCCCCCACACAGCTGCTGCCTCCGTGTCCATCCAGCCCTGGGGAGGGTGGAGAGTCCCTGTGAGGTGCTCCTGCCCCCTCCCGCGCCGAGCCTGCCCACCCTGCACACAGGACCTCCCTGAAGCGAGTGAGGCCCATGACGGCGGAGGCTTGTAGTCAGCACATCCTCGCGTACGGTGCGCCCATGTGCACACGTATGCGTGTGTCTGTGAGCACGTGTGTGTCTGTGAGTGCATGTGTGCATGTCTCTGTGCACGTGTGCACTTGTCCCTGAACACACATGTGTCTGGGTGTGTATGCGTGTGTGCATGTGTGCGTCTGTGCACGTGTGTGAGCACAGGTGCACATGTGTGGGTGGGTGTCTGTGCATGTGTGCACATATGTGTCCCTGAGTGTGTGCCCATGTGCAGGTCTGTGTGCATGTGTGCACATGTGCATGTGTGTCTGTGAGAGCATGTGCACAAGTGTGGGTGTGCATGTGTGCACGTGTGTGCTCAGGCTCGTGTCCCATGTGCCTGCGGAGGCGTGTGGGATGGCTCCATGTCTGTGAGGGTCTAGGCCTCCGCTGACAGACAACATGCACCCCTTGCGGCCGTCTGCTGCGTGCACAGGGGAAGGGGCCCCGACAGCTGCTCCCTCGGCCCCTTGAGCCGGGCCCGGGAGGGAAGCAGTGGGGGGAGGTCGCAGGAGGCTCTGGGGGCCGCCCTGGCCCCCCGGTTACGGAGATGGAGGAGCCCCACTGTGGCTGGGTCGGGAGCACGGAGGGCTCCCCTGGGGCCCTGGGCCGGGCAGGCTGGCAGCTCCCAGGGCTCACGAGCACTGTGCGGTCAGCACCCGCTCACGTGCGCCCTGGCCCGTCATGCACGGACAGACGACTGTTGTCCCTTTCAGAGAAGGACCCGGAGGCCCAGCACGGGTGAGTGACCTGCGCAAGCTCGTGCGGTGAGGAGGCGGTAGGCAGAGGCCTGAAGCCAGTCCTCCGACTCCAGGGCCGGGACGCCTTCCACTGCACGCTCTGGGGTCCCCGCGGCCCCCTGGGGAGGGCATTGATACTGAGAACGGGGGCCCCGAGCCAGCTCCTGCTTGTCTCCGGGAGGCCCCTCGAGGCCAGAGGCACCTGTCCCGTCAAGCTGCGGCTCTGGGCCCCCGGGGTCCTGCCGGCACGGAAGGCAGGGGCTTGGGTGGGGACAAGCATGGTGGGTGGGTGGGTCCTGGCCCTGCTACTGGGTGACCTCGGGCCCACCCCCTGCCGGCAGGGCAGAGGCTGGGGGGCGCGAGGGGCGGCCGTGCCCGGCTCTTCCTGCCAGCATCCCAGGGTCCTGAGGTTAGAGTCCCAGAGGCAGCCCTGCCCCGGGCCTGAGGCTAGCGGCCGAGGGGAGGAGGCGCGGTGCCAGGCTCCGGAGGCCATCACAACCTTACCACCTCGCTCTCGGAGCCCAGGGATGCCTGGCGCCTGCGTCCAGAGATCCAGCTGAGGTCCGAGGCCTGGCTGCTCAGGGTGGAGCGGTGGGTGGAGCGGTAGCTGGCGTAGGGACCCGTGCGCTGGCCCGACACGCCCAGCAGCACCCCCAGGCAGGGCAGGTGCTGGGCAATGGCCATTCTGCAGGGGCAGGACATCTGGTTAGGGGGACGGACAGGCGGACACCAGGACACGATGGCAGATGGACAGACTGATATGGGGCTAATGGGGTGGACGGGATGGGGAAATGCGGTGGCCCAGACATGGGGTCATGAGGACAGACAGACTGGCAGGCTCATAGCTGGGGAGGGACACACAGACCCTGGGGCCATGGGCACGGAGGGAGTGCCTTTGGGTGGCGGGTTGGGCAGGGGCTTGGTGTCGGCGCCCAGGTGGCTGGGCCGAGCCGTCTCCCGTCTCCCGCAGTGAGGACCAGGGACAGTCCCAGCAGCCTCCGGGGCTGCAGCCAGCCCCAGCCAGGCAGCGCGTTGCTGACACCTCCAGGCAAATGGGAGCACCGACAGGCCTCTGGGGAGAGCGGGCAGGGCTGGGCTCCCGTCAGCCAGCGGAGCCCCCACCCCAGGCCAGGCCAGGGGGCTCCAGGGTACTGCTGCCTCGGGCCTTCGCTCTGTGGGGTACCACTGCCGAGTGGCCATCCTGGCTGGCCTGGATCATCCATCCAGGCAGGACTGGGCCCTCGTGTCACCCCAACCGCCCCCCGGGAAACGGGAGCAGCAGAGGGGGGCACGCCCGCTCCAGACCCCGCCCCGAATCACGGCTATGTGCTCAACGGGAGACCGGGAGGATGGCCTCGGCCCCATGCACTCCTTCAGGCCCTCCACGCCAGGGCGCACCTGTACTTGGGGTGCGTGATGGCGTAAATGATGGGGTTGTGGATGGCGGAGGCCTTGGCGATGATGGCTGGCACGGAGTTCATGTAGGGCGTCAGGACGTGTGCGTACCTAGGACGGAGGTGCTGTGGTCCCCTGCCGGCTGGCCCTCCCCGACCCTCTGCAGCCCCCTGCCCTCTCAGGGGCCTTCTTCCTCTGGGCCAGGCCCTGCAGGGTGTGGCCTGGCCTGGCCCAAAGTCCCCGGCCCACGAGAGGGACTGCTCTGACACGGGGCAAGTGGGGACCCGGGGGGCGTTAAGGCAGGGTCGCCAGAGGATGGTGGGCCAGGCTGCGGGGTCTCCCAGGGCCGTGACCCCTGCCCACCCCCGGGGCCCCAGTGCTGAGACCCCTGCCCTCCCACTCTCTCAGACTGACTCCCCAGGCTCCCGGGGCCCAGGCCCTTCCTGCACAGGCAGGTGTCGCACCCAACCCCCCAGGTGGGTAACTCGGCCCGCGTCACAGCCGAAGCTGGCCGGTGTCCACGCCACTGCAGCCATCGCAGTCTGCACCTTGTGGCCACGCAGGACCCGCAGCAGGAGGCCCACAGCCCGGGGGAGGAGGAACAGGGCTCGGGGACGTCGCATGCTCCCATGGATGTGGCAGGTGCGGGAGCCCTCGGGGCCTCAGGCCCAATCCAGCGGGGCCCACAGGGAGACGGAAGAGGCGCGAGGCCCACAAGGCAGGGAGGTTGGCTGGGCTCCTGCTTGGGCCCTGCCGTCCCCCCCGCGCCCCTGCCCGCCCCAGCCCCTGCGCACGCTCACCCAGCAAAAGCTGTCAGGGCCACGGCGGAGTAGGGGGCCCAGGAGAGCACGAAGAGTAGGATGACCAGCAGCTCCATCTTGGCCATCTTCCACTCTCTCTGTAGCCGCTGCCGCTGTCGGGGGGACCTGGCCCCACCCTCGCAGGCCCTGAAGGTCTGGAGAGCCCTGGGGGGAGCCTGAGTCTGACCCGCCCTGTGGCAGTGAGCCGCCCTCCGTCGGGGCTTGCGGGGCGGCGGCCTGAGGAGCCCAGGCACCCCAAGGCTCCCCATCACGGCCCCGCAGCAGCCTTCCCGGGTCCCCCCACCGGCCTCCCCATCAAGCCTAAAGGCCCCGCCCCAGAAGCCCCCCCACTTCTCCAGGCTCCTCCCCCCCAAGCGCATGTGCTCCTCTTGCCATGGCCTCGGAGCCGGGACTGTGGGGGGGGGTGTCCTGGGAACCTTGGGCAGCGTAGCCCCCCCTTCCCCGCGCCCCGCGGCCGCCCTTACTGGCCTGTCTCCCGGATGGCCCTGAAGATGAACACGTAGCAGTAGACGATGACCAGCAGCGGCAGGAAGAACACGAAGCAGAAGAGCAGCATGGTGTAGGCGCGGACCGACGGCGTGAAGCTCATGTAGTCCCAGGAACAGGAGGTCAGCAGCCCCTCGGGGACGTAGGCGCCTGGGGTAGCAGCAGGTGCTTAGCCGGGGGCCGCAGGCTTCGGGCCGCATCCGCCTGGGAGCCCTGGACGCTCGTCCCAGCTCCCGCCCTCGGGGGCTCCATGGGAGCCCGGGCGCCTGGAGGAGAGCTTCCCGCCCACCGCAGCCCGTTTCCCCCAGCTTGGAGCAGAGCCCTCACCAGAGCCCCCAGCGTTTGCCCAGGTTTTTGATCCTGCCACTGAAAGGTGGGAGCCTAACTGCTACCTCTCCCCACTGCGGGAGCCTCGCACCCCGACGCCTGCCCGGCTGACGCTGCGGCTCCTATTAGATGCACCTGTGCCTTCCCACCAAAACTGGGGACGGGAGCCCGGTTGTCCTCCGATCACTGATGGTGCGAACTCAGTTTCCCCTACTGCAGTCATATCCCCTCAGCGTCCACCTGCCTTGAGGCTCAGGTGCTTCCTCGGGCGTGCAGGCCAGCCCGTCCGCCCACCGGCCCCCTGACAGCCCTTCCCAGTGTATCGTCCTCTCCTGGGACCCTGCGCACTCACTCCAGCCGAAGAAGGGCGGCAGACTCCAGGCCAGGGCATAGAGCCAGACGCCCAGCAGCACGAGCGCCGCCCGCCTCTTGGACACCACCCCGATGGCGGCCAGGGGGTGCGTGATGACCAGGTAGCGGTCCAGAGCGATGGCCGTCAGGGTGATCATAGAGGTAATGCCGAACAGAGCCCCGCAGAAGGCGTAGAACTCGCAGCCTGTGGGCATGCTCCCTGACCTCAGAGGGTGGCAGGAGCTGGGAGCTGCCCCGGGAGGGAGGGCCGGGGATGGCACACGTTCTCCAGCAGCTCTCCGCCTGTGGCCCGGAAGCCGCACCTCCCCTCTGGTGGGCCACCTGGTGTCCTGAGGCCTCCTGCGGCGGGGTGTCCCCTGCCACAACCCTCCCCCTCCCTCCAGCCGGGGGGTCCTTGGCCGTCTACCTGCCTCCCCAAAGAGCCACCGCTTATGGAGGCTGCTGGCAAAGAAGACGGGCGCCTGGGTGAAGGACATGAAGAAGTCGCTGACGGCGAGGTTGATGATGAACATGTTGGAGGGTGTCCTGAGGCCTCTGGTCCTGTGAGGGCGAGGAGCAGAATCAGGAGGTGCGTGTGCCAGGGAGCTTCCCCGGGTTACATGCGCACGCACACGTGTGTCCCTGCTCTGGCCCTCCGGCCCCCTCTGCAGGACCCACATCCCCTTCTCGGGCACACCCCTTGTTCTTGGAACCCTCCAGGCTAATTCTTGCCGGGGGCTCCCCCTCCTGCGTGCTCAGCATTCCCCAGCTCCTCACACCTCCTTCCTGCCCAGGCGCCCCTCCTGGTCTCCGCTCTTCTAGAATCTCTGCACTGTTCGTTCTCAGGGACGGCCCAGGGCACAGAGGCCGGCACTTGCACAGACGCCTCCCCCACGCCCGCCGTCACCCGCCTTTGCTTCTATCCCTCCCTCTTTCCCAGTGGGGAGCACTGGGGGCCCCGCTTGTCCAGACAACAAATCCTACAAGCAGCACGGCCAGGATTCAAGTAGTCATTTGATGCGCCCCGCAGACGTGGACTTGCACAATCCTACATCAACTCCATGAAGCAGATCCCGCTGCATCTTGCAGACAGGAAAATGGACCCGCAGAGGATAAGTGACTTGCCCAAAGTCAGTTCAGCTAGTAGGTAGCAGCGCGTCAAGGGGTCCCTTTGTCACCTGCCTGTCAGCCATTCAGCCCGAGAACGGGGGCGGCTGGGGAAGAGAGCTGGGGTGGTGGCCGGGGGGCTTGGGGACGCAAGGGCTGCCTGCCGACGCTGAGGGAGGATGCCCATGGGGGCAGGTGGCGTGGAGGTGAGCTGAGAGCAGGGCGCAGGGAGCAGAAGCATGTGGGCCCTAGGGACCCTCGTCCTACCCAGAGGGTGTGCCTGGAGCCCAGCTGGCATTGCCACTCACGTCGCCCTGGACCACTCCTGGCCCCTTCCCTAAGCTAGAAGACAGAGGCCCGTCCTGAGAGCTCCGAGGGCTTGGCCGTGCCGTCCCATCTGTGGCTCAGCGGTGTCCTGGCAGAGCTGGCCCTGCATGGCTGGCTGCCCTCGGTGCCCACGCCCACCCTACCCACCAGGCACCTGCAGAAGGTATAGATGACCATCAGGTTGCCCAGCATCCCCGTGAGCCCCACCAGCAGGATCACGGTGCCCAGGACGTAGTGGGCGTGGTCTGGGACATCCACCGTTGGGAAGGGGGCCAAGGCCACAGCCTGGGCCCCGGCTGCCTGTGGAGACACAGACCCCAGCTCGTCACCTCATCCTGCCATCTCCAGACAACTGACGAGGAACCGTTGTGGAGACCGAGGCTCAGCGTGCCACAGCTGCTTGCCCGCCGTGCCCGGAGGTGGCTGAGCCTGGGTGGAAATGCAGGGCCCTCCCCGGTGAAGCCTGAGCACACCTGCAGCACAGCTCAGAGGGGACACTGAGGGCTGCCGGCCACTTGGTCCACCACCCCTGGTGCAGGCCCCGGGGCTTCCGGGGTCAGCTGCGGAGGCTGCACAGACACACGGACACGTGTCAGACAAGCGAGGCCACGGCCAGGGTGAGACTACGGCTCCCTGGGCGGGGGGGGGAGCCATGCCCGGGCGCCTCCCCCCTCCCCCCGTACGGCCCTGCCCCAGGCCCTCCAAGTGGTTAGCAGTGGTGCTCCCGGCCCTGTGGACCCCGGGGTGGGGGGCCTACTCCGGAGCCGACCCCCAGCCTCAAGGAAGGGCTTGGACCCCCATGACGGGATAGTGCCAACCTGGACACCTGGCAGGAGGCACAGGACAAGAATTCCCCTTATAATAGGACGTTTAGGGGCGCCCGGGGGGCTCAGCGGTTTAGTGCTGCTTTCGGCCCAGGGTGTGACCCTGGGGTCCTGGGATTGAGTCCCGCGTCGGGCTCCCTGCAGGGAGCCTGCTGCTCCCTCTGCCTGGGTCTCTGCCTCTCTCTCTCTCTCTCTGTGTCTCATAAATAAATAAATAAATAAATAAATAAATAAAATCTTTTAAAAAGGAAAGGAAGCTTAGGGGACCCTTTGCTGGCAGAGGCGCGGCTCTTGATCTCGGGCAGGGTGACGATCTGAGCCCCACGTTGGGTGCAGAGAGTACGTAAATAAAAACATAAACTTGGCCCCTTGGGTGGCTCAGTGGGTTAAGCATCCAGTGCTTGGTGTTGGCTCAGGTCATGATCTTGGGGTCATGAGGTCAAGCCTCGCGTGGGGCTTTACGCTCTGCAGGAGTTCTTAGGGTTTTCTCTCCCTTTTCCCCTACCCCCCCCATATATAAATAGATCTTAAATAAATAAATAGACGTAAAAAAGAAAAAAGAAAGCCTGGGTCCCCCAGGGTCCTGCAGGGAGGTCATGACCCCGTGAGGCCAACACAAGCAGCTTTAAGGAACCCTCAGGCTGCCTCCTTTCCTGGGAAGGAGGGCAATTGGGTCCCTGCCTTGCCCCCCGCAGCTACAGAGCCTTCCCCCCCACCCAGGATGCAGGCCAGCATCCCGGGGCCTCGAGGCCCCCTCGGCCTCCCCAGTTAACAGGGGGTTGGCGGGCTGTGACCCTGGGGCCCCAGCCAGACCATGGAGGCGGCACAAGGCACTCAACAGGGGACCCAGAGGCCCCTCCTCTCTGGAAGGCCCCGTGGGGTTTCAACCACCCTCAGAAAAGACCGGGTGCAGGTCTGAGCTGTTCCTCCGGTCCTTTAGGGCCGGCCTTTCTGTTCCTCGGATGCTTTCCGTGGGGAAGACATTGCCCGCACCCCCTCTCTTGGCCTCTTTGTGTAGGACAGGCTCCACAGGTCCCGTCACACGCCCAAGGACCCCGCAGGGGCTCGGGCCTTTCCTGCCCCCCTCCGTCAGAGCCCCCGTGTGTCCCCAGCAGGGAGGCCGGGCTGGGGAGGCTCTGGGCACACCCACCTGGCCCGGGCTTACCGTGGGACCCGTGGGCAGTGCCTGGTCCGGGCCGACGGTGCTGTGTGGGGAGCCGTGCCACCTGCCAGGCGACGCTGCAGTGGCCACGCAGCCGGGCTCCTGGGCCCCGGGCCCCGAAGGGGGGTTCATCCTGGGGGTGGTCCCTTCTGGAGCCCAGGAGAAGCCAAGGGCCCGGGAGCTCAGGGCATCAGCTGTGCCCACCCGCCCGCCGCCTGCCCTCTGCCGTGTGCGGCCGGCCCGGAGCTCTCCCCGCTGACGCCGCTGCGCCCAGTGAAGCACAACGGATGAGTCACGGCAGCCGCGGGGTCGGCCCGGCCTTTAAGGAGGACGCTGGGCGTGCACGTGCCCCGTGGCTCAGCGCCGCGGGCTCCCGGGTGTCTGTGCGCGAGGCCTGAGGACAGCGGCATGCACGTGTGAAAGTGCGTGCGTGTGTCAGGGGAGACGGCCCTGCCTGGGCCCGAGCTCATCTGAGCTGCGTGTCCTGCCCTCAGCCTCCCGCCGGCCAGGGCCACTCGCCCTCCGCCCGGCGCCCACGGCAGACGCAGAGTGAGGACCGTGGGATATCACAGCAGCGGGCTGAGATCAGGTCACGAGGCCCTTATTTGCTTGTTGCCTTTTGACAAGAAACTTCTATTGAAGCATAAAGATTTTTTCTTAAAAAAACCCACCGAATGCAGAGCTGGTGGGAAGTCCGGCCTGAGATGCGTGAACATCGGCAGTGGAGGGGCCCCAGCAGCTCCATCCACCCTTGCGGGAGGGAGCAGGAGCTGGAGGGGATGGCAGCTGGGCCGTCCTCAGGGGGCCACTCCGCTGCTGGAATGTTCTAGTTGGGGTGCGTCCTGAGACCCAGTGCGGAGGTTCAGAGGTTCGTGGAGCCCTGGAGCACAGGCGGCGCCATCTCTTGCTCCAGGTGTCCCCCCCCCCCTCGGGATCTTTACAAACAGTGGTCCTTGAGCCCCAGCGCTGGGCCGGGGTGGGAGCGCCCCCTCCTGCAGGGAGAAGCTCCCTGCCCCACGGTGTCAGCTTGGGGCTTGGACACTTCCTCTGGAGGCCTTCCTTGGCAGGTCCTAGCTTGCAGAGGCTCCCCCTGGGTAGAGGGGGAGCCTGGCCCCCGCTGTCCCCCGTGACACCCAGTGTGGCCTCCCTAGCCCTTGGCTCCTGGCTGTGGAGCCTCGCCTACTGGTCCCAGCTGGGAGCAACACCGAGCTGCCGGGGGCCCGGGGGATATCCTCGTGGGAAGCTGTGGCCCCAAGCCGTAGGGTTTGTTGGGTGGGCCGATGGGAGGGGCCGCAGGGCACCACAGGCCCAGGAAGTACCTCTCCCGCTGGAGAGCCTTTGGAAGCCCATGCTACACATGCTCATGTCCCCAGAGGGCTCCTCCCAGCCTTACTCCCCATCGTGGGGCCCCCCGAGTTGCACCCTGTGTACCCCATGGCAGCCCAAAGTGGGGCCACCTGGGGTATCGCCGTGGGGCAGGGTGGGCCCCTTTCCTGTCCCTCAGGAGCACCACGGGGGCTCCTGGGCTTGCCGCCTCCCGGCCTGGCATCCTGACCCGGGGCCTTCAGGGCTTTCCGGTGCCTGTCGTGCCCGGGCCACGCGTGTTCTCAGTAAGTCCCGTCGGGGTGTCCCAACCTCACGCCATCCCAGGACCACGCGTTTGTCAAACGACCACTGTGTGCTAGCGCCGGGCCCGCATCAGTTACGGCAGCCACCCTGGCACCTTCGCTGTGTCACCGGGAGGGGAACAACCCTCAGCCCCCCTCCGCCGACCCCAGAAACTAGCCTCTTCCTGCTCGTAGCTGGAAGCTTCTGTCGAGGGCAGTCAGGGCTGGTTCACAGGTGCAAGAGAGGTCAAGGAAATACGAGCAAGGCCAAAAGAACCTTTTTTTTTTTTAATTTTATTTATTTAGAGACAAAGCACATGGGTGCGGGAGCCGGGCGAGGGGCAGAGGGAGCGGGAGAGGGAGGGTCCCAAGCGGACCCTCCTGAGCTCCGAGCCCGACCTGGGGCTCCATCCCACAGCCCGGGGCCCAAGTCAAACCACTGAGCCACCCGGTGCCCTGGGAACAAACTTTTATCCTGAAAGCTGACCACATGCCCTGGGGAGGCGTGCGCCTTGGGCGCCCCCGGGAGCCGGCGGGTGCAGGAGCTTGCCACCGGGTTCCAACACCAGGCCTCACTGCCAGAGCCCTTGACGTTCTCGGGGCTTGCCGAGCGCCCGCCAGAGCATACACGCGGTCCTGGGCCACCTTGGGACTGTATACATATATTGTTTTGTTTTGACGTTTTGGTAACATGCTGGAGCCGCAGAGGAGCAGCCTTCCCCCCCACGATGCTCTGGCCTGCAGGGTGGCGCACGGCTGGGGGATGGGGCCCAGCGTCCCCGCGCTCTGTGACGCTCGGCTCCTGGCCGCTCGAGGGGACAGGCGTGGGGAGGCCGCGAATCTCCAGGGACACGGAGGCGTGCTGGGCGCAGAGCAGCTCTGGGGGTTGCCTCAGGAGCCAGGGGCCCCGTAAGGCCTGGGGTTCCCGAGCGTCTGCATGAGGCCCTGGCGGAGCTGAGTGGGGCCCGTGGACCTCAGACGGCTTGTCTTCAGGTGTGACTGTGGCCCTGTGAGCCTGGCGCGGGCTCCAGAAGCCCAACACGCTCGGTGCCCTCCCGAGCCAGCCCCGCGGTCAGCAGCCCTGGCGGCCCCCAGCTTGGCCCCGGCTGCTGTCAGGACCTGGAGGATCAAGACCACGGAGGCTTGGTGTCCTCCGCAGGGCGATGGCGTGGACGCTTGGTCACAAGCCCCACGGCCTCACCCAGAGGCGGCCCGAGGTTACAGGGCTTCACCCGGCTTCACCCCGGCTGTGATGCTGGCCCGGGACAAGTGCCGCAGGACCATGCAGCCCGGGAGCTGTGGGACTTAGAGCTGTCCCCAGCCTCAGGGGACTCTGCGTCACCCTCCGAGGGCCCCCCCCATCTACAGGAAGGACATGGCTGCACTTCATCGGCGGCGGGGCTTCACTTCAGTCAGCGCCCCGGAGACCAGCAGGTGGGAGCACCGCGGCCCCGCAGTCCTTCTCTGTGCCACGGGGGACTGAGAGGACAAGCAGTCTGGGCAGGAGCAGGGGTGGTGGGGTGCAGGGCAGGCGTGGGGGGCGCAGCCCTGTTCCCCGAATGGGGAGGTGAGCGAGCGTGAGCCCCTTGCCCCAGAACCCGGCCGCGTGTGCCCAGAGGCCTGGCCACCCGCAGGAACCTGGGGGCTGCTCTTTGGGGGGCCTGGGCTGGGGTGGGAGGTTCTCGTTCTCTGCTCTTAGAGGCCCCCCGACTCGGGAGCTGCCGGCAGTTTCCTGCGGCAAAGCCGAGGGCAGGGGCATCTGGCACCCTCTGCTCCGGGCTCTCAAAGTGAGCAGAAAGCTTCTCAAAGTGAGCCCCCAGCCCCCCTGCAGCCCACCACCCTGTCCCCTCCCCTCTCGGCTGCTTGAGGCCCTGCCCTGAGGCGCCCGACCTGCTGGACGAACGTCCCGCCCCCTCCCCGCTGCTGCCCGGTCCCCGGAGTCACCAGGGAGCCCGGAACACGGGCACGGAGCCCCCCGCAGGGACTCTGGCTCGCTGGGCCCGGGGTGCGGCCCAGGCACCGGGATTTTGCCAAACGCCGCCTGACACGAAGGCTCACGTCTCTGCTTGTGCCTCGTACATGCCCACCTGGACTCACGGTGAGCCCGCGCCCACCCGCAGTCCCTCCTCGCTGCGGCAGCCCCCCCGCCCCGAACAAACACCCCTCCTCCCCCCCCCCCCCGCCCGGCTTCTCCGACCTGGGCAGGGCCCCAAGTCAGGCTCCAGCGGACCTGCCTGCGCCCTGCAACCTAGGAGAAGGGGTCCAAGTGCCTGGCGCCCAGGGGCGGGGGGCTCAGGAGCAGCGCCAGAGGCAGGGCCCCTAGCCTAACCCTTCCTAGTCTGCAGGTGAGGCTGGGCATCCACGAACTTGGCTGAGGAAAAAGTGGTGCTGTCTGCAGCGACCCGAGCTGGGACCAAGCGCTCTCCTCCATTAGCAGCGTGCACAGAACCGCCGGTAGTGTTGCCCGTGACTTTGTCACCCATGGAAATCACTGCAACTTTCACAGGCCGGTAGGACTGTTGCACACGGGCACAGTGCTGGCTTTGCTCACCACTGCTTCAAAATGACGGGTCTACTTACACCTGCCAGCAGGTCTCGTTGATCTGTTAAAGAAGAAGCAGGTTACACCATCACATATGTATTCAACATTTTAGTGATGACATTTCGCCGGGATTGGTTTCCTCTTTTATTTATCGTATGCATTTTATGCAACATTCCTGAAAAGGGCCCCATACGCTGTGCAAGACTCCAGACGGGTCCCTGGTGCAAAGGTTAAGAACTGTGGCATAGGGGCACCAGCATGGCTCAGCAGTTGAGCAGCTGCCTTCGGCCCAGAGCGTGACCCCGGGTCCTGGGATAGAGTCCCGCATCGGGCTCCCCGTGTGGAGCCTACTTCTCCCTCTGCCTGGGTCTCTGTCTCTCTCTCTCTCTCTGTCTCTCATGAATAAATAAATAAAATCTTAAAAAAAAAAAAAAAAGAACTGTGGAGTAGAGGTTGAGTCAAGTATTCAGAGACCAGGGTGTAGAAGCCACGATCGAGGGCGACTGCATGGCCTCCCCTGAGGACACCACAAAGGCTGCCTGGAGGTCTCAGGAACCGGGAGACACCTGCCTCAGACAAGGCCCTGGATCCTTCAGGGCTGATTATGTAGCTTGGCCTGGGCCCCCCGAGGCAGCCAGAGTCTGGCCAGAAGGGCCCAGCCTCGAAGCCCCACCAGCCACCCCAGTCCCTGAGCCCTGGTGCCTGGCTGTAAGTCCTGCCTCCCCCTTTTCTCAGATAAACCTTGATTCCCTGCAGCCACAGAGCTGACCGACAGCCCGTGAGGACAGAGTCTGCAGGAGGCCTTGGCCACCCAGAGACAAGGGCACCCAGAGTGCGGCCGCCACCCCCAAGACAGGCCCGGAGCAAGGGAGTACACCTGGAGCCTGCCTTGCTGGCAAGCCAGATGCAGGCTTTGGGGCAGACCCGGGAAGCTGCTGGGCCTCTTGGAGACGGCCGGCCAGAGAGCAGAGGTGCTGTAGAGA